CAAATTTACCCATACCTTGCTACCATCTGTAATAGGAATATACTTTTGCCCAGCATGTAATATATTTTTCACAATAGGCGCCATTGAGTCGATTTAAAAATACGAGTTGATCAGGAAGGCGGAAGCTTTATTACTTCACGTTCGTACACAAACAGCTTGGTTTCGTACGCAATTTTTGAATATTTGTTTTTTACTTATTTTTTTCAAATGAGAATTGTAAGTTCAATCATTGCCACAGCATACAGATACAGTATCGACAGAACTGAGAACACCACAGAGTACAGACTACAGATGAGGGATTTGTGACAGTTATCAATGAAAATGTTATAGTGCGTTTTCCAATTACAGCACTAGAGCGCATTTTGCGGCATAATGCTCAACGTTGAGTGTTCCAACTACAGCAACGCTTCGCACAATTGAGCACTCTCAAAACGAATGCTCTCGCAAACAATACCAGCACAGTGACAGAAAATTGACCAGTATTTTTCTTTAAGTTGGCATTTATCGAAATTTTCGTTAGTAAATATTATTTATTGTTGAAAAATTTGTAAGGCTTTCGTTTCGTCGTAGATTTTGAAAATAATTAAAGTTTGAAATAACTTAAACTGCTAAAAAAAATAAATATTAGTATGGATGAAGGTATAAATAGTTACTTTTTTTATATTCCACATTTAAAATATGAATACAATTTTATTTTAAAATTCGGATCTGTAAACAAATTTACTTTACAGGATTATACTTTAGAAAAAATTGCAATGGTTTTGAAAAAGTATATATTTTTTTAGAAATCATTATAAAATATTACTCAAAACGTAAATGATGTAAACTTCTTACATGAAACTTAATATTTTACTGTTAATTTAGCTTGTTAAAACCTTATATTCTTTAAAGGTTTTCTCTTATTTCAGAAAAAAAATATTAATGAAATAATTTGATTATTTAATTAAGCGTAAAAAGTTTTCAACCAACTATTATTGTTTACCACATTATTTATACATTAATGAGGTTGCTAACTCTATTCAGACCATTTTTTTGTCAACACTGACTTAGCGCACTCTGCTGATGCATTTGAAAACTAATTCACGTTTCAATTAAGCTTCAGCATTATGCGGCATTGTGCGGCACTGAGTCGCAAAATGCTCTGTAATTGGAAAACGCACATAACTGTGCAGTGTGCAGTGTGTAGTTTAAGACACCATAAACTATAAAGCATAAAATTTTATTCTGTATATTGTATAACTTTCACTCTGTTACAACAGCTCTCAGCTCTGTAGTCTATGTTTGTGATTTGTAATGATTTTTACCAATGCCCCAAATTATTTAAGAAATTAACTTAAAATAAGTTATTACTTAGTTTAATTATATATTAGTGGTCCTAAGAATTCATAAATCATTTTCTTTTGATAATGGCAGACTTTCTCGAGTCCGAAGCCGAAGAGAGCGAGGTTAGTAATACGTCCCAATTTTACTATGTTTCGACCAAACTTTCATTACACTTTTAGTCGTTGAAAACAATGGGATTATGTTTTATGTTTTAGTTGGATTCTGAAGATGAGAAGCCCGCAGAAAGAAAGAAACCAAAACGTAAAGCCGCTGTACAAAGTGACGACGAAGATGAAGAAGAGGATGGTTTGTAATTGATTGTAATCAATTTCTGGTTTCCTCCAATTCTTTATTTTTGGGCTTAGTTTCATTTTCAAGGATAGAAGTAAAAATTTTGTCTACTATGTTTAGAAATTTTGTAAAAGTTATGTATTCTTACGTCTTACTGTTTTAGGTTACTCTGTAGTTATAATTTTGGGTTAGGAATGTTAAACAAGATGTTAAAAAGCGTTAGCGTGTTGTTATTTATAATCCGATAAAAAGTAAAATATTGATTATTAACATATTTTTATTTTTTTGGTACAAATAAATATGTACTAACAAAATGGATTGTCTTTGTTCTAAGCATAGTTACACAACAATTTGAAAAGTCACAGTTTTTCTTATTATTAGTGAAATTAAGCCCTAAGATATTTATAAATAGTAGTACCATTAATCTACAGATGATGAGGAACGGCTTCGAGAGGAATTAAAAGATCTTATAGATGATGCACCAATAGAAGAGTCTGGGAGTGATGGTGAAGATTCAGATGCAAGTGTGGGACCTAAAAAAAGAAAAAAAAGTGACGATGAATTAGATGATAGGCTTGAAGATGAAGATTATGATTTGATTGAGGAGAATCTTGGTGTGAAAGTTGCCAGGGTAAGCAAGGAGATTATATTTGATCACAACTACATTTAAACAATTATATGGAAAGTTAACAGAGAGATTATCTCATGATTATTTAAATAGTTAATGCTTTACATTGAAGATCTTTGAAGGTCTTTGATAATGAGTAGTGGTAATGTAATAATGTTTGCATATACTTTTAAAGTTACTATTAAATGCATTTTACTATTTTGGCTTTTTGACATAGTTTCTAAAAGAGACAAGTGTTTAAGTGTATGAAGTCACTCATTATTAAATTTTTATAGAATAAATTTAAACGTCTGAGGCGATTGGAAGATGATGATAGTGACAATGAAGGAAATGATGATCCTGATTTAGAGAGAGAAGTAATTGCTGAGAAGCTGTTCGTTGCAGGATCTGATGAGGTATATTTTAATTTATGTATATAATAATACAATACAATACAGGCAATTGTGCCTCAATGACTGTTTATGTTATATTAGGCATTTATGTGTACAAACAGCATACTCAAACTCAAAATAACTTTATTCATATAGGTAACCAAGTGCATTTATGAACGTCGACAGAAAAGTTGTTAAATTGATTCTAAATTTACATTTACTACCAGTTTGCAAGTCAAGGGCGTAGAGCGGGCAAGAAGAACTGGCAAAAAACTTTTGGCCACTCTTTTTAATTGCCAAGTTTTGAGTCATACAAATTGTTTGAACTGGAAAAAATCAATCCCAAGGATTCAGATCATTTAAATAATCATAAATTTTTTTAAAAGCTTTATTGAGGCTATAGCCTTATTGATTAATTTCCGTTTAGCGAGAGTTTAGGATTTATTCAGTGATAATTCTCTAATTTACTCTTGGGATTTTGATGTAAAAACGAATACATTTTCCATATAAGGAGTGGTTTACATTCTGGAGCCTGGTTGGTTGTACGCTTAGATTTGTTCTGTTTCGGGTATTATACTGGTAAAAGTCACCATTTGTTTAAAAATTGTTTATATTTTTATGTGCATAAAACAAGGCTTCAAGAATATATTGACAAGATAGTGTCATAATATTTAATTCCTTAAACTTGTTCCATACTGAAACTCAACATTTAACAACAAAATAAAAGCAACACAATAAGTGTTTTTATATTGCTTTTAGTTTTATTTGCCTCTGTTATGAAACAACAAACAACACAGGGCCTTGAAATTCAACTGGCTGGTTCTTATGTTATTTTAGCAATGAACAGAAATTCGCAACCTTCATGACACATTTTAAAAACACATTCACTTCTAGATTTTATCAGAAAAAAAAAAATGTAACAACCTTTTCTGTAACATATTTTTCCTTGTAGGAAGAAGAGAATCGTTCAGAACCAGGTCCTGCAAGGGAAATGGAATATGATGATGACAATGAGGACATGGAATCAGATGCTGACGACTTCATTGTTGATGATGATGGAAGACCAATTGCAGAGAGAAAGAAAAAACGCAAGCCTATATTCACTGATGCGTGAGTAAACCTGATACTGATTATCTATGAGACAAATAGTTTCTTGCTTTCACAAATAACAAGCTATAGAAATAGTGAATATTAAACTCTAATAATTTAAAATGTTAAGATGATTATTTATTATACTCAACACATTATAACATTACTGAAATTTTGCCACGTTTAATAACAATGCTTTTAACCATTTGGACAGTTGGAGGACAAGCCTAATTTTCTATTGAATTTGGTTTTGGGTTTGACGTACGATGACAAATTTGCCTTAGTAAGGCTAGATTTTTTCTCTATTAGTTTAATCCATGTTTTTCATCAGTTCTCTTCAAGAGGGCCAAGATATATTTGGGGTGGACTTTGACTATGATGAATTTGAGAAGTATGGTGATGAAGACTATGATGAAGAAGATGAAGAGGATTTGGATGAATATATAGAAGACGAGGAAGAGGATGGTTAGTTTAGTATCCTTTATGCATTGATTCATTCAGTATAAATTAAAAAAAAGGGTGCGTGTACTTATGTACGCGCGTAAGAAGTTATACTTCTTTGGCATTATTAAAAATAGTTTTTGATTGCATGCAAATAATTAATTACAATTAAATAATCAAAGACTGGAAAAGGAGTCATTAGTCATAAAGCATTTACATTTGAAAAAAATAAATAAAAATTCTCCAAGTGTAACATAAATTCTATTATTATTCGAATGTTGTTTTTAAATTATGTCCAATGCCGTAGCATCTTCCGTGGGCAACTTCATTCTTTAAATTTTGTGTCACGGTGCGCGCGCATCGTAAAATTACACTCTCATAAATTTTTCATAACGCGCCTAAAGTATAACTTCAAAAAAACTAACTCGTTTTATTAAACTTTTTAAATGCTAAAAAATCCATCCTAATATTATTTCAATGGTGGAAATTAATATTTTTTTAAATAAATGTTTTTTAGGTGAGAGACGTAGAACCAAAAAAGGTAAAGCGAAGCGGCCAAGCAAGAAGTCTATATTTGAAATCTATGAGCCTAGCGAGTTAAAGAGAAGTCACTTCACTGATTTGGATAATGAGGTAATTATATAAAATACAATTATCAATTAACTTTCCTTGCTGTACTGTGTAAAAACGGCTGAAATTTGAAAATCAATCATTGTTTGTTAAAATTATTATTTTATCCATTAATTTCTGTTGAATAAACAATGTTAAAACCTCTTAAATACTTGCATATATAAGAATTTACATTTACACAGAGGTTTAAGAGCATTTAACATTGTATATTGGAGTCTTGTCTGTTGTGCACTTCCAAGAATAATTTAAAAAATCTATAATTAACTAGCAGACCGTCCAAGCGTTGCTGTGGCTAACGTTTTTGTTATATT